TTTATTGGGGCCCCCACCCATCGCGCAGGGGTGGGGGCCAGGGGGGGAGGACAGTAGGTCCCCCCCCTATTGTTTTATTAGGGCCCCCACCCACCGCTCAGGGGTGGGGGCCGGGGGGGAGGACAGTAGGTCCCCCCCCCTTATTATTTTACTGGGGCACCCACCCACCGCTCAGGGGTGGGGGCCGGGGGGGGAGGACAGTAGGTCCCCCCCCCTTATTGTTTTATTAGGGCCCCCACCCACCCACCGCGCAGGGGTGGGGGCCAGTAGGTTCCCCCCCATCTTTATTTAGGGCCCCCACGGGCATGGGGGGGGGGGGTTTATTCGTTTTTTTTTTACAGTGAGCAGCTATAAGCTGCTCACTGCTTACTACACATGCCCCTACTCGCGATATAGCGAGTAGGGGCATATTATTTACTAATACTAAGTAATCTTTACTTAGTATTAGTAAAGTTGGCTGTTAGACCAATTTAGGTCTTTCAGCCTTTTAGTAGATAGCTCCCTGATACCGTGGGAATTAGGGAGTTATCTACTAAGCGGCTGCAAAATGCAGCCACAGCAATGAATAGGATCAGAGTTTCATTCATTAAAATGAAATTCCGATCCGAATAAAATGCCGAATTGCGTTCTAAAAGAAACGAATATACTGTTGTCATTCAGTTAGAACGCAATTCGGCAGTTTCATGTAAAATGACAGGAAGCATTGTGGGAACACTGAGGAAAGCTAGGGATCATGGGAAAATTGCTCTGACCAGCGGAAATAAAGCACACTTTGCTCCTCCGCTGGTCAGAGCTGGTCAAGCGGAGGAATCCTCCATAAGGCAAAGAGTCCCTTCTTTGTCTTATGATTTTAAAGAAAACTAAAGAAGACAGGAAGAAAAGAAGAACAGATCCTGAGAGAGGGGGAGAAGAGGAAGAGATTGAGGAAAGGTAAGTTCGGCATGACAGTGCCGCTTTAAAGGAAGTGGACCATATACTGTTCACATTTTCATTTCCCAAATATTTTTTATAAAGGCTGATGTGAAAAATAAAAATTGTGTACATTTATGTGATTTAAATGTTCACTTTTATCTGCAAAGCAATACATACACAAAATTGCTGTGTTATATGTTTATACTCTAGCTATGCATTAAGGTGTTTCTATCCACACATGGCACACACCATTTAATTAAAAAAAAAAAAAACCTTGGAAGTATCAGACTGTTGCTAAAAACAATTAAATTGAGGTTGTTCTCGATTACTTTGAGACTACTGAATGGAAGGTTTATTTTCTTCCCCACTATTCACTGTTTATATCAGTCTCTCTTACCTCTCGTCTTACTATCCTTTCGATTTCCTCTGCATTTCAATGGATACATTGCCTATTTAGGAGCATGAAGGAGTTAGTGAGGATTCTTGTACTTAATTGAGATGGTTCTATTTATTGAATTTTTCATTTTTAGTACACTGGACATTGATATATAGGGTCATAGCACAGAAGTATTTCGGCTTTTTTGCTGTAGTCTGATCCTGATACACTGTATCGTTACATTGTTTTTCTTTATTATACTTTGTAACAATTTATATTGGAACTCGTTACAGACATATTCAGCACTGGTTTTTTCAGCCGAACTCAGTCTGCATTCTTTTTCTTTCTTTTGGGTTAGGGTATATAGAATTTAGTGGTGTTTAATATATGTATATATACATACATACTACATGAGGGCACCAAATAGGCTCGGTGAGTACACGATGTGGGTGTGATTAGTATGTGGTTGGGCTATATATTGTCATGTTTGTACATTGGCGATTTATTGTTTGTCCTGATTAAAGCTCCATGCCGGAGCTGAAACGTTGACATTATTTTTAATGGAATGAATAAAAGTGGTCTTATTTCAACTAATACAAAGTTCCTGGAGTGCGGTTCTTTTTGCTGCTTTTGCATGATTTGCCAGTCCAGCACCGGGCATTACCACGAGTGACCTGGAGTGCAAGCCTTTGCTATTTATATATATATAAACAATACTTGACAGGGAAGAATGTATTATGGGAAAACAATATCATCACAGGGTTCTGGAGACTTCATAAAGCATGAGACAGATGTTTAAGCCCACATTACTCAGACAAGAAATTATTTCCCATATTACATTTTTTGCATAGTTTTTCTCATATTACTCATGTTGAGTTATGGCTAGGACTAGATTAAGGTTAGGGTTTGGACTAGGGCTAGTTTTCCTTTAATTTTAAATCAGCACAGGACTAGAGATGTGCATAGGGAAATATTTGGTTCACCCAACTGATATACATCTAAAAATGTTGTTAATTTCTGAAATCTGGACACCCATTATTCCCTATGGGTAATGAATGGAGGTGGTGGTCATAAAGAAAAAGGCAACGTTTTTATTGCGGCCTAGGAAACCACTAACGGGAGTCACTGAGATGGCCACTAGAGGTGCTTCATAGGTCAGCGTCTCCATGCTCTGCATGGAGATGCTGAACGCTCCTCTTAGAGATACATTAAGTCAATTCATCTCTATGAGGTGTTGCTAATTGGCGCATCGTGGCATTTTTCTATGCATGAGCAATAGCCTCCCAATACTTTCCTATGGGAAATGAATGTGTTGGATATGATCATCAAATTTTGACAGAGCGGGTGGAGCCAGCAGCGGAGGGACCTGCGCAGCACTGGAATAACGGTTAATAAAAACACTTTTTACTCCTGACAGGTTTCAAAACCTCATCCAGGATTAACTTCTTTTAAGTTTCCCCTAAGTTGGTATCTAAGGTAACACAAGCAAAAATTCACAACATTCTAATCTCAGACC